CTATGTTTAACATTGTAGAACTAAAAGCTGTAACATTCTTGGACTTACTTGCAAGGTATTCTAAAGATTTGCCTTATCCATAGAATACTTGATTGAAGTTCTTACATAAGTATTAGAAGATTATAATTGTATTAGGAATTTTGGTTGTAATGATAGACTTATTATTGTCTATCTTTGCTCAACCAATTTAATGGCATACTTTTATTTGTCTATATTATAATTTTTTACTTTCAATTATAAAGATTTGAAAGAATATAAAGACAAATCAATCCATATTTATTTAAAAGATAACCACAAAATGTTTTAACAACTTTACTTACTCAATTTATTTTAAAAAAAATTAGTAATCAAACTTGATATTAAGAATTATTGGCCATTGACTTATTTGAGCTCTCAAATAATAAATAAACTTGTATTATAGTTATGCCTTATGAAAAGGATGTATAAATCAATTAAGTAAAGAAATAAATGTATGTAGATTTTTGCTTAGTTAATTGTAAGACCAAGTTCAATTAGTATTCAATATCAATGCAAGAAAAATCATGATATATGGAAGATTTTTATAAAATATGTAGTACTTTAGATATAATTTTTAATTAACATAAATTGCTTCTATTTGTAGATGAGCAAATGAAGACAACATTTTTTGAAGTTGATTATGATAGCAAGGATTAAGTTTTAGAAGGTAATAGATCAAGTCTTGATTGACTTGTTTGCCAAATACCATATTGATAATATTTTTAATTTCAAAAGAAATCTGTAAAAATATATATTACATTTATAAAAAATATTTGAGTGATTACAATAATAAAATTGTGCTTACATTATGCCAAGTATAAATCTTTTTATGACTGGCTACTATACTTGTGGCATATAATTTTTTGGGAGGGCTTGGCATGCAACAAGTGAAGATAGGTGCATTATAGAAGATCTCAACACCAATTTATATTTTTTTGGATCTTTTGGAGATATACATACTAAAGCACTAATAGATCTTTATACTACCTTCAAATTTTGTTTTTAAGAAAAAATTATTTTAAAAGTAAATTATTCAAATTATCAAGCATGGTCTATATATATATATATATATATATATATATATATATGGATTTTTTTAAAGAACCCACTACAATTGGCACTAAATATTTCTAAAAATTTTAATAAATTACCAATTTAGCAAGTAGGCATCATTGACTTCTTATATCTCTTATTAATTATTATATGAATAGAAGACAATTTTATCCAATTCAATGCATGAGAAATTAGCTCTAGTAGTCAATTTGAATAATTCTAATATATTTTTGTATTATAATACAACTATTAGATGATTTAGAAGAACTTAACTATTAACATAGTAGAAAAATACTTTTAAAAACATATGTTAAAATTAAGAAGGTAGTAGAAATTTTATTCTATAATATCATTTTCATTATAAAGACTTCTATTTACTTTTTATGAACATAAACAAAGAAAAATAAGGTAAATTAGAAAATCAACACTACAAGAACTTTTAGATAAAAATAAAAGATAATTTGCAGTCAAAATAACCTCAAAAATCCTTAGATTGATACATAGAGAGGATAAAAATTATATTTTATTCATTATTAGTGTAATATAAAAACTTAATTTTAATAAATAAATAATAATAATTGGATAATGAACTATGGTGCATGTATTATTTTTTTTAATTAGAAATTTAGTTTGAATACATGAAATTGGTACTTATACACCATGAAAGACTTTCTAGAGAATTGTGTGTGTCTGATACCATACTTCATACATTTCTCTTACAATATTAAATCCTGGTGGCAGAGAATTTGTCTTTTGATTAATATTTCTAGTTATTTTGCTTTACTTTAGCAGTTAACTATAGCTTTTTTCTCCACACCTTGTGCAGCTCAGTCTGTGAAGTGATGGATGGCTGTGTACTCTACATCATAGGACACAGCACATGCATTTTTGTAGGGATGGGTGAATGAATAGAGTGTGAGTGGATACATGGATGAATTAATAGAGTGACGGTGGATGGATGGATGCATGAAGAGTGGGGAGAGGGTGAGTGACCAAATTGTGGAGTTAGCCTCCTTGGTGCTGATGGAGGCTTTTAGCAATGAAGGCTCAGTCAGGGAAGGAGAGAGAGGTCACCTCTGGTCCAGAAAGGAGGAGAGGGATCGATCCTCTGCAGTTACTACCACAGCAGCCAGGTCTTGTGAACCCCAGAACCTGGACAATTAACACTCACCCACATGTGCATCTCTTGTGACCATCTTGCTCACAAGATAAACCCTGCCTTCCCAAATATCAAAGACAAGAAACAAAAAAGAAAAAGAAAAACACAAAATATGCTACTCTTTTCATGAAGATCACTTCAATCTATAGAAAGAGAGAATTAGGAATAAATCAAAGTGAGGAGTTTTGGTAAGTAAACTGATTGAGTGTAGCTGTCAGGAGCCATGTCCTCCTGGCTAACAGGTTAGCTGGCAGGCAGCCAGGCAGGGGATGATTCAGTGAAGGGGCAACCACAGAATGCAGCTGGGTTCATGTTTAGTCCCATCACACGGATGAAGTGATGGATACTCATGTGCCAACAAAAATTAGCAATCTTCAAAACATAAGCATAGGCAGCAGCAGCAGAATCAGTAGCAGTGTCATCAGCATCAGCAGCTGATCTTCAAAGGACAAAACCTCCTCCTGTGGATTACCTGATTTCAAAGGGGATCAAAGTCACCAAAGACTGCGCCCTTCCCTTCCCTCTCCATCATCCGAATCTATGTCACAGAGATTGTAGTTAGTGCCTCTCATGTTTGACTGTCCAAGAGCTGTTCGTGGAGGCCTGCCTCTGTGACACATGGGGCCATCTCCATCCACATCAGTACAGAATCCCTTCACAGCAATAGCCCATCGAAACCACACAATTCCTAGTCATACTGTGGAGATGATCACACATAAATATATCTAAAATCAAATCACCAAACAAAGGAAAATGAAAAACAAAAAAAATCCAAGTAAAAACCAGCTTGTGCATGTTTGTAAATCCCAGGTTTGAGTACTAAGTTCAAAATATTGTTTTATGCTCTAATTTTGAGAAAACCAACTGTGAACTGTTGCTGAAATGAATTTATATTTCTATATATATATATATATACACATGGGTGTGTGTGTGTGGGTGTGTGCATTCAGAAAAAAATCAAAAGACAAAATTAGCAAAAAAAAAACAACAGAGCAAGTTGGGAGTTGCACCCAAGTGGGGCCATTGGTCTTGTCCTATGTGTTCTCTTTTTTTGTGAAGAAGACCTGTGACCCTGCAAAGTTTCATGATGGCGTCCTTCAACAATATGTCCAACAGCCAGCTGCAGATCTCTCTTTCAACTTTCTGTGTCAAAAATGTCTGATTCTCCCCATTTGCTGGCTGTTTTTTTCAGGCAGAGACAACTAGTGATGCCCTAATTGGTCTTATCCCTCTCTGTTTGTGTATTGTTTTGGCTGCTTAAATCACACCATCCATCAAACTAAGCTATTTTCTGTGCATGCTACAAAGTGTGGATTCTTGCAAAGAGTAAGTTTATTATTGTCTTTTAAGATCCTTCTTTTTGTTCTTGTTGTTAATGTTGCATTGGTGGTCTCAGTGTACAACTAGTGATGCTACAAAGGTTATTTTTCCCTGTACTGTACTGTTATGGTTCAAGAGAATACTGACGTCTCAGCTGTGGTAGCCAGCGCAGATTCTTTGCAACAACATCACCTAAAATGACAGAAATATGCTTTAGCCAATTGAGTGCAGCATCGCAGGCCTTAGCTCCAGATTTCCAGTGGTGGTACAGTGACTTTGGTCCCAAATTATTGGACCTGGCAGGCTTGACCTAATTTATGAGCCGACATTTGATTGGGTAGGACTACGTTCACAGGCACAGCAGGTAAGCTGTAAGAGTACTCCATGGAGAAATGGCACCTAAAGGATCCTTGCACAGACACGGTAAAGCCAGGGAACTTAAATTTCCATTTTGAAGTCCTGCACTGGCTACTCACGGATTTAACGAGCTGGGTTTCTGCTGTTTAGACACCTCTGTGGATTGTTAGGTAACAAGGAAAAGGGGCTTTGAAAAAAGGACCATTCGCTGTGATGCCAAGGATGCCATGAGTAATGCACAATGAGCAGGCTCAGCTTGAAACTAAGCTACTGTTCGAGCTTCACATCATAGCTTACAATTTTCAGAAGAAAAATCACCCAAGTTCTTAATAACTCCTGCACGAACTCTTCCACCCACACTCCAAGCAGGACATATGCGCGTTGCAAATCCCAAGTCAGTACTTGCGAGCTCCCTTCTGCATCACTTCTTTCGTTGTTATATGTTTCAAGAGGAGTTTGAGCCAGAATGAATGCCATTGCTTGGTGTGACCCAAGAGAGATCACAAGATCAGCAGCCTCCCGGGGTAATGACATGAGTAATGGAGTAAAACTGCCAATCAAGATATAAGACTTGTAAATGGTGAATAAGAAGTCACAGCAAGAGTATGGCAGTCGGTAAATAAGAAGCCATCCCCCTGTAAATAAATCTGACCGTCGCTATCGCCCTGTTGATTGCAATGCTAATATGAGGATATTCGAGATTGATTTTCCAGAGATGTCCTCAGCTCCTTATCAAATACAAGACGGTGGCCACGGTGACGACGAATTCGTCACACAAGAGGATTTACAGCTCACCAGGGGAGTTGGGACGCGGCTTCATCGTGGCTAGTCTTCAGAACCCAAGCACCGGAAGGGGTGAGAATGAAGCCTGCCTGCCAACTAGTCCCACGATGCAGCTGGCTCACGCTCATCACAATAAAAATTTACATGGACGAGGTTCACCTGTCAGAAGTCTCCATACTCATGTTCATCAAAGAGCTCGACGCTTTGTGTAACCTTTTCTCCGCACTCATGCTACCGCTGCAACAATTCACTACATGCAGTACGGCGTTGTTCCCAAGGGGGTCATAAATATTGCCTCCTCCTCTGCAGATTTCATCTTCTTGGAGTCCTTCCAGCTCGTAATGTTTTTCATCTTACAGCCTTCGTTTTGGCTTTTCTACAGATTTACAGGGTTTATCGTTTTTAGTGACGTTGTAACAATATAAGAAAGATTCAGGGAGTAGTCATTGAACTGTTCCATGGTCACTCTGGCCGAACCGCCCGGCTCATCGTTCAGGCAGCGTGTTCCACCTCTGTAGGTCCTGTGACAATAGTTCCGGTGTTTGGGACGGTTTTGGAACTTTTGCATGCTAACTTGAATCTGGATTTTGGAGGCTGTAATTGATAGCTTTTTCTGAGTTTTCATCTTGAAAGAAGATTGGCTTGCTTCGAGAGTGAAAGCTTGCGAACTAGAGGTGTTTGATAATTCGCTTGAAGCTTCACATTGTCATCTCCAAGGTGCAGTGTGGACAGTGTCCGGCCTCTGTGACTCTCTTTATATATAGTCTTCAGAACCTTCGCGAGGAGCGTGTTGGTAGAACAAGCTGCCACACACTCCAAGCAGAGCTTTCAAGAAGATTGACAATGGGGATTCTGGAGTTGAAAACTGTAGCGCAAGCAATGCTTGCTGCATTGTGTTTAGCTATGGTTGGCGTAACCTACGGTGCTACATTCACTGAGCAGTTTAGCACTTTCTCCTCGGACGGATATCACGTGCAAGTTTCTCCTGATGGTAATGAGGCCAAGATTGTGCTGGACCAGTACGCTGGTAAGTACTCAATTCGTTTCACTCATATCGTGTTTCAAGCTCCACAATCCATTCTCTGACGATGCGTACATTTCAAACAAGCTTGTGAATGTCGTCATGCTGTGAACCTCGTCAGAAAGCTAGTTTTCTTGGTTGCACAACCAGGGCCATGGGTAATAAGATACGTGATTTGGTTGTGCCTCACACGGACTAAAAGTGTGGTGCCTTGGTCAGCTTCTGGATTTGGATCTAAACAGCAGTTTCTTTTTGGAAATATCACCATGAAGATCAAGCTTGTGCCGGGTGATTCAGCCGGAACCGTAACTGCGTACTATGTAAGTCTCCTCGTGTGATTTTCTCGACTAAGTACCATCATTTTGGAGGCCTTGAGTCTTATGGTGGAGATCTCTGTAACCATCTCCTACAGTAACAGTTAATTCCGTTACATCATCTGGCGAATGAGATATCATTTCTAGCTGATTTCCTGGTAACGTGCCTGAGACAACCGCACACAATGCTGTCGGTCTCTATATTCCTTGACGTATGCTCAGTGCCAAATTGCTAATAAGTTTGGTATTCGGGTGTGCAGTTGTCGTCTGACCAGCCCGCACACGATGAGCTCGACTTTGAGTTTCTAGGCAACACATCAGGAGACCCTTACATTCTGCAAACCAATGTCTTCGCAAATGGTATTGGTGGCAGGGAGCAACGGATCAACTTATGGTTTGACCCGACTACGGAGTATCACACTTATGGTGTTTTGTGGAACCAGAAACAGATCATGTACGTGGGTTACCATCCTCCATATTGATTCAAGTTTCGGACCGCAATTGTTTACAGTTTCTTTTCACTGGAATTGCATTGGAAATGTAAATTGTGTAGCTGACATAACATATGACCTATTCCTCTATGTAGCACTGCACTATTTCAATCTGCAGGTCATGTTGGAATATATTTGCAAGGTTGTGTTGCATTTGCCCAATGCATATTGAAAAGCTAAAATTCTTGCCCTTCCTTGACGCAGCTTCACCGTGGATAATAAGCCAATTCGTTTATACAAGAACAGCAGAGATTTGGGCATTGCATATCCCAACAGTAAGCCCATGGGTTTATACGCCAGCCTCTGGAACGGTGACAGTTGGGCAACACAAGGAGGTCTAGTCAAAACTAATTGGACTCACGCACCATTTATTGTTTCGTTTAAAGATTTCAGTTCGTTGGATGGTTGCGTGGTTACTGACAACAACATCAGTCCCTGCACTGCAACCACTACGCACTGGTGGGAGGCTTCCGCTTTCCAAACCATTGACCGACACCAGGCGGAGCAAATCCTGTGGGTGAAGGAGAATTACGAGGTCTATGACTACTGCAAAGACACCAAGCGATACCCAACTGAGCCGAGTGAATGTGCTCGTAACGTACCTCAGTTATAGTTTACTGGTGAATTGATATACACTATTCTGTTACCTCCACGAAAGTTTTGGCGTTAATCTCTTTTACCACGTAGTGTGCTGCCCAGATTTTTTGTGGCAACCTCTATCAAGAAATTCCTGCATCCTCTATCAAGAAAATTCTAGCTTATACGAAGATGACTAAATTGTACGATGGCAATTTCCAAGGGTTATAGGTAATGAAATAAGGATATTGGATTTTGAAATTCTAAGCCGGCTTATTTTATTAAATATATCTTGAAATGGGAGTCTCCAATGCTCCGTGTACAAAAGTGTGGCAAATTCGTAGACTGGTCAGATTGTGGAGACCTTGGCAATCCATCAATAAAATCTGTTGTGATGACATTTCATCTAGAATTGTTATTCTATCTCATGTACTGTATATCCACCCGTAACTTGAAGAGAAATTCGTGAAATGATTGTTTGCCGTGAGCACTATAATTTTAATTGACATGAACTGCATTGCAATTCAATCAATGAATGGAGCTGACACGTTCTGCTCACACAGCAATTTATTATTTGTAATACTAGGATTATTAGTATAAATATTATTTAAACTCGGGCTAAATCTAGTTGGCACACAACGCGTGTATTTATTTGACATTCCTAGTAATCTGCAATTTGATCACCTGTTCTATTTGATAAACTCCATACCTGTCAGATTCAGTTTTTGCTCACTATCTCTCATACAATGAATATGAATTTTTCATGAGTGCATGTACACTTCAGATGTCCATTTGTGCGTTGACAATAGGAAGTTTTATCTAAAGATGGAGAATGGTGGATAACCAACGATTCGGAACTAGCGTAGTCTACAATGATATATTCGTTGAAATAAGTCAGCGTCTTATTTAGACTTGCAGATTACTAAAGAGAGCAGTTTACTGGACTCAGAGAGATTCTGCATGCACGTACATTCATCTGCATTTCTATTACACTATAAAAGTCGCCAACCCAACCATTTATTTTCTAAAAATATTTAGATTGAGGTAGAGGACAGAGATATATCTCAATTTTTTCGTGACTAAATTGGAGAAAAAACATGCACAAAGAATAAACTTTACTGAAATAGACTTTGTGACACTAATTTTCAAAAAATGACTGGCGGCTTCATGATAATGCACGCCAGCTGTACCACCAAAAATCCTAGTAAGAGGCGTTCTTCACTTAGTGCTGATGATTCCTTCGCATATTTTCTGTAGATCACTCAGACAAGAGACGAAAACCAACTACTGATATTTATGCACACTCCGCATGCCCTAACAGATTAGTCCCAGATCGCTGTTCCTTTGTCTATGAGCTCTATTACCTGGCCCATATCCGGGATGCATACGCCAATTACAGTCACGCCTGCTTACAGATTTTCCACATTTCGGCAGAAGGGAATTGTAAGAGCTGGAAGATGGAAAGCACAACCTCCAGAAAAATCATCAGTCAATAAAATGAATTTATAATGGGTTTCGGGCACATTCGGCTGGCGCAACAGGAAAACGCTTCTTGTCTGCGCAGTAGTCATAAAGAAGGTAGTTCTTCCTCACCCATGCGAGCTCATCGACTTGATGAGCCCCCAGAGTTTGGTACTCTGATTGCATCCACCAACTGTTTGACTGCGCAATGCAACTGGCAGTGTTACCGTTTTCCACTCGGCAAGCATCGACACCAAATGACTCGTAAGTAGCAACGAAAGGACTGTATGTCCAGTTGAGCTTCGTCCACCCGTCATTTGTGGCCCAGTTTTCTCCGTTCCAAATAGTGCTGTAGATCCCCACGGCCTTTGAGTCGGGATATGGAACACCAATGTCCTTATTATTCTTGTAAACACGGATAGGCGTGTTGTCCACATAAAATCTGCCGAAGGAAGAGAAAGGTTAGCAACAGCAACCTTGCTACCCAACAGCCCCAATCATGTCCACATCCTAGGCACTGCATAATGTGACATCATCAAAATGTCTAAATTTAAGATACAAAGGAGAGAAACGAGGACATGGTGAGAGCGCACATGATCTGTTGTTTATTCCACAAAACGGAGTAGGAATGGAACTCTGCCGTTGGGTCAAACCAAAGGTATATTCGCTGCTCACGCTTTCCTTCGCCATTCGCATAGACATTGGTTTGCAGGATGTAGGGCTGCCCCGACACATTTCCAAGGAACTCAAAGTCCATCTCGTCATGTAATCCTGGTGTCTGTGACGACATCTACAATCACAGAAGGTATTTGTAAACTGAAAGTTGCAGAATATTGCTCTCTAGAAGTGCGGTGTGATCTACCCGCAGCATGCTACTGCAAATCAGAACAGACAATTGAACAGCAACAATTCTTCTGTGCACGTAACTTCATCTCTGAAATAGAACACTAATAGTCAAGTCAGTGGTATCGGGGTTACATAATACGCTGTCACAGTGCCAGCAGAGTTTCCGGGAACCAGCTTCATGCTCATCCCAATTTTGCCAAACAGGTACTGGTACTTCGATCCAAATCCAGAAGCTACACAAGCATCGACGTTTTACTCAGGAAAGAAGACAAGTTTTAAATCAAAAAGAAGTCAACTTAAGGTGATGCAGAGTTCTGGTGAATATCGTTCACAACGTTCATTGGGAGTTCTCACTGACTATCATGTGTTTCCAGCCACAATGACACTTGATGTCAATGCTCTGCTCATGGGAAATACTTGCTATGTGACATTTTTGACCAGGTGCCTAAGTACAACCTAATACAAATGGACATTTAAATGACTCAGCGGGTATTCGTTGCGGAGTACCTGAATATTCATCAAGCACTAGCTGCACTTGTTGACCACTGTTGAGCAAACGAAAATGTTGAGCATCTGATCGACTTTCATAATTTTCAAGAAAATGAACGGGCCCAGTCAGAGACCCAGTGCCTTGGCTAAGCACTGGCATCACGTTTAGAGCAGTGAATACCGACCACGCTGCAAAGAAAAATGTAATCCATCTTGCGGAAGTCCTAATCTTGTCATCAGTTACCGCCATGGCTTGAATACCTTGAATCATTGCCAAACACTATTGGTTTCTCAACATGTAATGTACCGAGTGCTGGAATTCGACCTATCAAGCTCTTCAAAGGCTGGAGAGAGTCACATTTGCCCGTTCGAAGGTGACAGCATCAGTGACCTTGTGTAAATGACTGAACAAATAACGATGTGCTTCCAGACCACTGTTGGCCGATTGACCGAAATCTTGTACAAGGAGTAAATTGTCCTGCACTTCAAAAGCTGCGGCCGAGACTTGGTCAGATATATGGCTTGCAAGATGTGGTTTAGAAGCAAAGCGACATACCCACCGACTTGTCTCTTTCATGAGTTCTCAGTGATTTTGATGTCACTGTGCGTAAGAATTGAAATAACTTCCTGAGACCCTTCGTAGCGTTTAGCTCTACTTCATCTTGAAGCACTAACGGAAGCATTCAACTCAAAGCAAGGCTACAACAACTTGATGGCATTCAATGCTACAAGGAATTGAAAGAGGATAGAAACAAGAACGAGTTCAAAAACAATGTGGTGATGTAGAGAAGATAAAGTTAGTTCAAGACTCAACCCTAAGTGATGTATGTCGATCGGATGCTATCAACAACTGATGTATCTCAATTTTTGTTTCGCAGCGTGTCAATGCAGCTCAATGTGACACAACAGTAATTCGGTCAAGACCAAAATCTCTACACATCTGGAAGGCAACACAAGCTGGAAAACGATGCATGCTGATGAGAGTCGGCTTCACAGAGACCAGGATGACCTCCACGTTTGTGGCAAGAATGAGAAGAACGGATATGCTCCAAAATATATATACACTTCTCCGTGCAATGCATGGTGGTAAGTCGAAATGAGTGCCATTAGCAGTGAGCTCGATCGATTTACCAGGTTAAGTGTCCAGCAGCTCAAGAACCTCATGAACTACCCATAAACCGTGAAAAAGCAACAACCGAATCTGTAACCCCAGTAAAGGGATGAACAACGTACTTCATCTCTCTCCTCCAGTCCTGTGATTGATCACACAAAGATGACACACACAACGCAAAGATGATGCCTGCAGAGGACAGCTTCAACCCCTGAGTGCAGCGTAGCCTGCTGAGTTCTCATCAGTGTGCAATGTGCATGAGGAGTGGAGACCTATTAATGAGTAGGGATATCGGGAAGATTCAAGTAAAAGCGCATGACTTAGGCAGTAACTTCCCACGTGTGGGTAAAAGGGCGAGACAGATTAGCAGGAGCCAGCTGGGGCCCTGCTAACATCGTACTGAGTCCAGATCTCCTCCTCCTCGTTTGTACCACCACCTTTCCTTTCCTGCATCCTTCCTTCCAGGCTATGGCGCCTTCTAATCTGTAGACTTACTCACTCACTCACTCTCTCTGAACCAGCATTAACTTAGTTCATGGACAGGAAGGAGGAAGCAGGAAAGGAGACAGCTGCTTAACACCCATACAACAAGTCCTTTTTCTCCCATCACAGTTGTAACTTTGAGAGAATTAACGCTGTATTTGAACTCACAAAAATCACCAACTTAGGGTTGGACATGAGAATTCCCTCTGTGACATTTGGATCTGGATTACACAAAACCTCTTTCCTTCATGTTACATATAGTCAGTGTCTCATTCATGGGTTCAGAGCAAGTCAGCTCCAGTGCATTGTAGGTTATAAGAAGGAAAATATATTTTGGAAGGACAAACTTGCAGGTGGATTCTCCAACATCTGACTGAGAGCCACCATGTGTTGCTGTATCCCTGAGAAAACTACATGGCTATGATGTAACACCTCTGATCCTATCCTTCAGTGCATACAGACATTTTGAATCTGCACACTCATATTGGGTACCACTGCAATTTGCACAGTTTCCAAATCACAAGTACCTACAGGACTTTGAGCATTTTGAATCCAAGCACATATCCTGCACAATCTTCCCTCTTTCTTTTATGGATTTATATTTTTCAACTTTGTGTACTGGGTGGCATTTTCTTTTCCTTTTTCTTTCTTTTCTTTTTCAAATTTCTAAGCCCATTTTTAAAATCCAAGTACTCATGATTTTATCTTTTCTTCTCTTGTGGTTAAAAGAATAATTAATATTTCTTAAAAGCTGGATTTCAGTAATTACAGGAGAAATCAATGGATACATTTCAAACATGTCTTTCAAGTTATAAATTTGTTTGTCTGTAAAATAAATAAAAAAATGTTTTCATGGCATTATGACATGTTGCATCAACTCCTTTTAGTATTTTTTTAGTTTATTTCATTGAATCCATTATTAAATAATTTTAATTCAATTAATTTAAAACATTGTATAAAAATATGTTATTTTAACTAGTGGAATACAAATAAATGCCACTTCTAAAATGATTAAGCTATATATATATATATATATATATATATATATGTTTATAATATATGTTTATAATATATATTTTTTGATAATCTATATATTATTCAATATCTTATATTTTATATTTAGTGGTGTTTGTTAGTGTGCATTCATCAAAACGACAGTATTATTGTTCATGCATTCATTCTTCATAAAACTAATCAAATTTTCATCTTGTTTACAAGAAGTGGTTTAAATTAGAATACAAGGTTGTTATATGGAAAGACTCTCTCTATAGTTTGACATTATAAAGATTCAAAGTATTGCATGACTTCTTTTTTTGCTTGAAAGAACAATAAGGTAAGCTAAGTGACATTAAAAAATCAATCAAGCCATTAAATATATATATATATATATATATATATATATCATAACATAAGATACATTTATTTTTTATGATAATAAAATTCTTATTATTATTATTATTATTATGGTATTAATAAAAACATGTTTGCAAGATTTTTAGTTATGTTTTTTACACTGTAATTTATTATTACTTATAAATTACTATACATCAATGATATACTTCAGCAAAAGTTTTTCAAAGCAAAGGAAAGAAATTTAATGCTAATGTACCTACATGTGTGTATATATATATATATATATATATATATATATATAAAATTGTACTTTAGATTAAATTTAATATGTGAACTATGGTAAATATTTTTTACAAAAAATATTTGTGTTAGTAATTACAATTTTTTTAATAATAACAAACCATGTGTTGCTTTTAACTTTTTTGTTCTTTTCATTTTGGATAAATCTCATTAAATTCTTATATTCAAATCTGCAATATTTGAAACACCAAATCTTTTAAATACATATTGTGTAATCTTAGAAAGTGCACACTTGCACAAAAAAACATCCCCCTCTCTTTTTTTAAAATTATCAAATCATAATTTTTTTGTTGAATAAATAAGCTATTTTATAATGCAAAAAAAAAAAATAATAATACTTTCTATTTATTTTAATGAGCTATTGTAAACAATGATTTCAAACTGGTTGTTTGTTTGTTTGTTTGTTTTTTTTTTTTTTTACTTCATTTCTACCATTAGATTGGATTGTTCTTTTCTGAAAAATAAATTTGCTAATACTATTGTTTGAATTTTCTTTAAAAAATATTTATAAAATATATGGTTTAACAAAATTTTAAAATATATTTTATAATTTTAATAATTTAATAATTTTATTTTTTAAAAAATAAGATTATTTGTTTACTGGTAAAAAAATATACGAAAGTGAGCTATAAAGTAATTAATATGGTAAAAATAATAATTAAAAAAAATTAAAAATACGTATTCAAGTTCATAGTATTTAAAAAAAAAATATGTATTTTTCCAACAAAAATCACTTAAATATAACTTATAAACTTCAATAAAAATTTATATTGTAATATATTAATGATACCTTGCATAAGTTGCCATAGTATGCTATATTTGAAATATCAACAATAATCATGTTGCAACAAAAGAATTGACAAAATCAAATTAATTAAGAATAAAAATATGTTTATAAAGATTTACTAAAAAAATAATAGATATACTATAGTAATCATATATTTAATTAATAAAAAATATATTAATTTTTTTTACTTTAAGAGTTAAAGATTATTTCATTTAGTATTTTATTATACTTTTATTTGATAATAAATAATTACTCTATTGTATTTTGATGTTTAAGTTCATAAACTATAAATAAAATCAATTTCATATAGTAGTGCATTTTTTAAGAGAATGCTAAAGCAACACTTCCATCTTATTAACCTAACACCCTCTTGTGTTCTCATGATTAATTTGGTCTATTTCCCATCGTTTTTCCCAACCTTTGTCTCTCATCTTGATCTCTCTTTCTTCCATTTCTCCTCCCTTGTTTCTAGTACCCATCCCTCGTCCTCCGTCCTAATTCTTCCATGCCCATTTTTAGTCCTTGTCTCATGTCCCTAGCACTTGTCCATTGTTCCCCCTCCTTTGTCTCTAGTCATTGTGCCTGTCCTTTGTTCCTTTCCTAAATATTATGAATGGTAGCATTTACCTTGAATAGGATTTTTTTTTTATATTTTTTTTTTATAAATTTTTTTGTGAAAAAAGTATCTTGATGTTGTATTATAATATATTTAATTGAAATATAAAATATTTTTTATTTAAATATAAAACTCGAATTTAATAATAATAATAATAATAATAATATGTATAGTTGTATATATCACACATTAATCATGTCTTTTTAATAAAAGTATAAAAGAATTATTTTTAAAAAATTTAAGTGTTCTATATTATTTTTTAAAAAATTGGAATTTATTTGTATTTACAAAATAAGAATCTAATATTTGAGCATGAGGATAAAATCCTCTCAATGGTAAAGATCTACCATGAGATTTATATATATCAATATAAAAAAAATCAAATTAAATCATAAACAAAATAATCCAGCTAAGTGTAAAAAATATTTTATAATTCAAGTAAAAAAAAAAATCTTATCATCATGAATCTTTTATGACACTTTATTTACTTTTTTTTAAAGCAAATAACAAGGATTTAAAATTTTAATAAATAACTATATATTCATTTATAAAATAAAAAATTTCAACCTATTTTAAAAAACATAAATGACAACCATAAATTAAACTTATATATATATATATATATATATATATATATACCAAAAAATGGAATTACTATTCCAATCATCCTTGGCGTCCATAAATTGTTTTTGTAGAACACCTCACCGACAACAACATTGTTAAAGACTTTTGCTACATTGTAATCCAACCAGAGTTTAGAAATAAATGCAACAATTACTTAGACTGAGTAAGACCATGAAAACATCACATAGCATGATTTTTTTTTATAAACGCTTTGGTTTCATTCTTTTGTTCAAAACCAATCATCATAGCTTTTATGTAAGAAGACTCAAAAACCAAGGAAAAACTGTCCATGCATCAACAAATTGTTTGGCACATGGCAATGATGCAAGAAGGTGTATTAGAAACGTTTTAAAAACACCCTGGAAAACATAGATAGACTTATAAATTTCTATTTTTACAAATACACACAACCATTTGAAGGGCATGACGACAACAAAGCTGGAGCACACATTTAACAACAAATTTCAAACTTGAATACGTTCTGAAAGTTTAGAATATTACATTTCAACATTAAAACAGACTTGTGCAGACTAGCAAGAGCTTGAAAAAGAAGGAAATATCACATGAGTTGGCAGGAAAGGAAGGAGAAGGATGAAGAAATCCAATGAAGCAACTTTGAGTATTAGCAAGAACATGACAAAGAAAAGAAACGAGAAGCGCGGTGGAGCGCAAAGACAGCAAATGCCTCCACTCGAATGAGGGTCCCAGCTCCACAAATTGTACAGCGCACCCTATCATCCAAGCAACGGATTTCAGGGACTCAGTTGCAAGGCCACGCTGCACTTGGGTGTTGAAACACCTCGGAGACTAGAGCATGAGAGCCCCTTTGATCAGCGATCTCTCTGCCAACAGCGAGTTGGGGCATTACATGCAAGCGCCACCCTCCCAGTTGCAATGGATTAAAACTACGTCCCATATCATCGTGCATGACAGCACCTTGTTTATAATTCTAAAAATTGGTATCCGATCCAATTCGACTACCTCCAGCTGTGCCCATCATGTCCACTGCCTAATGTTAATATGTTTCCCACCCCAGTGAACGACTTCAAAGCACGACCCATGTTTAAGATCCCGAGGGTAGCGAGTAACATCTCTAAGGCTTTGACCCTCGGCATCATCGTCATTCCAGTGCACCTAAGACTACTTAGTCTAGCCCGGGCCTGCCAAAAAGGAGCACAAACAGAAGTACAGCAGAGAAGATGGTTGTATGGATTCGCATACTACCACCAGTGCCCGGCTCGTTCTCGACCTTGCAAACGCAGAAATATACCAGCCGGAAGAATTGTTCCCAACTCACAATGCTGGCAGCACCAAAACAGGAATGGAGCCACGAGCTGGCGCAGTATGAACGTAAATTCAAGGATAAGCAACCTTGCCACAACTCAAGAAGCCATGGTGCACTTTCAGGGCCCCGAAGAGGAGTATGCGCCCTCACTTTGTGTGTTAAAGAATGTAGCCAAATCTGTGAGCGCGAGCCGGGAGAAAGAGAAGTACCTGAGATGCGATTACGGCTCAAAATCTTGCAATCTAGAGCAGGTTTTTGGGCATAACAAGCAGGCTAGTATGGCAGGGCGGCACGGAGGTTGAGTGCGATTCTGAGGCAGATCATGTGGGCCAAACCTACAATAATCTACGAGTAAAATTCCCCCAGCAAGTACTCCAGTAAGAGAGTATGGACGCATGCCTTAACCAAGGCAGAGGCATAACTGAACAAACCCATGCAAGTTTGTGAGTCAAGGTACATTTTAGCACTCTGGCTTGTAAACAGCATAGCGAGCTGAACGTATGTGCGCAGCTCAGAATGGGGAAAGAGGCTTAACTTCAAAAATAAATTCACATTGCTACAGTACAACGCAAATGCGAATTTTTCTCTACTAGCCGAAGTCGCAAAACCAGCTTGATCATTTCTCAAACAAAAATAAAATGGCGAATCTACAATTCAAAGGTAGCAACTGAACTGCCTCAAAAGAATCGACCGAAAAAAAAGAATAGCCAAGTATAAAATACGTGACAGGACCCATGCATGACACTTCGTTGACATTAACGCATTAAAGAAACGATCCACTAACCAGATTTGGTATTGAAGTTGGTGCAGGTATAACTACCTGAGCCGTATATAACACCCCAATACGCCAGAACTTAAATACCCCAGAAACATCCACAGAAACAACACAGACAATTTCATACAATCCAGTTAAAAACCTCGTCTACCATCCTCTTAGACTTAAAATCACAAGGCATACTCCACTCCATGTGTTGCACAACCTCCATCCCGGTATACCGGGAGGACAGCCAACTCTCGCAACCGCTGTCAGTGCTAAATAAAGCCCACATTGATCTTTCCCATGGCTCTCATCACTAGTCAAAGTCCATATTACGACCAGAACATTCACAGTCACACATTAGACGAAGATTCTCTCCATAACATATAGCCAAGAACAACGACTACAAACCACCACGACCCACATCAACCTGCACTGTTGTCATCTCCATGCCATGGAATGTCATGCCGCACTTCATTTCTCATGCGCACTTCTCCATGTACATCACTTTTCCTTGCAATCCAATTATCAGTCCTTGCTTCTGAAGGTTCACGGAGCGGACTACTATCCCTCCGTCTACACAGCTTCTTCTCGTGCCAACTTCACACGATTGAACCTGTTTTCCCTTCTTTCCTAAGATTAATGCCTCCACTACCACGGCTATCAAAGAATGTCCCCACTATCCCCCACTATTCCCCTCCTACCCAGTTTACACGTCCACTCTACAACACATTGTACGCGCATTCCGGAGGCGCACTCGGGTACCGCTTCCTGTCGTCGCAGTAGTTGTACTTCACCTGATTCTGCCTCACCGCCCTCATCTGCCTCACTCGCCCAGTCGGCAGTCGCTGAGCGTTCGGCCCAGGAGCCGCCCACATAGTGTTCTGGCATTTCCTGATTCCATCACTGTCGTATGATTCCACCACGCACCCGTTCAGCCTGAATTTCTGGTACGTCGCCACAAACGGCGCCGCAATCCAGTCCAGCTTCACGCGCCCTCCCTGCGTGGCCCAGCTGCTGCCGTCCCAGATGCTCAGGAACAGTCCCATGGCCTGGTGGTTCGGGTACTTGAACCTGGGCACAATGCCCTCCAGGTTCCTGAACATCCGAACTGGCGTGTTGTCCACGTAGAACACGATCAGGTCCTTGTTCCACTGGAAGTTGTAGTAATGGAAAGCCGCGCTCGGGTCGAACCCCAGGTAGATTTGCTGCTCGCGCCCGCCCACGCCGTCCACGAACACGTTGGTGTGCAGCAGGAAAGGCTCCCCGGTTTGGTTCCCCAAGAACTCGAAGTCCAACTCGCAGTGATGAGGTCCTGGAGATGTCATCTGCACAACAACCTCACCGATCAGAAAACCGTGCAGCCGTGCCACGTCCGCCACTCACCCTCACGTGCACACACCATATCGAAGCTCCTCCCAATCGTCAGCACCTCTCTCCACACTCCATCGAAGCCCGTCTGGCGCGCATTGTCAGGAGCTAGCATCCTCGCACCCGACCCACTCATTTCACACGTCCCCACACATCAAGCAACCATCGCGACAGCAGACGAATCTGCGTCCATGAGAGAACTCGGCATGCTGGTACTTACATACAATGTCGTCACCGTCCCCGCAGAGTTGCCCGCCGGCAACTGTATCCACGCCCCGAACCCGCCGTACAGCCAACTCCTCTTGGATCCCATTCCGGCAGCTGTTCACGCATGTCCACCATGATCAGTATACGTAGCACCAGAGGCAACGTCAACACATGTGTGCGACTGACACACTACGCACCCGTGACCCATATTCAGTCTACAGCATACACATACACACACATGCACATATTCGGAGTGCTGAGTAAGCTGTAAACATCATATGGGTTGACCACGCACCAACGAGTTACTCTACAAGCCCATCCTGGAGGGAAGCATGCAACTCACCAGAATACTTGTCAAGCACCAGCTCTACTCCCCTTCCGTCTTTGGAGAACTTCAGGTTGTTTGGCGTCCACTTATTGAACTGGCCTTCGAGCGCCCTGACTGATGTAGCCTGTGCGTGAGAAGTAATGAATAGCGAGCTCAAGCACAGCGCCAGCACAAGGATAGACAGGCATTGTGAGTATGAGCTTCTGGACCATTCCATTGCTGATGAATTATACGGCAGCTGCGATGCACTTATTCTTGTCTGTTGATTATCACTCAATGCGTACTCACCAGTCTGAACTCGCAATGCACCTAGTCTCAGCTTCTGTGAATCACAAATTTTTGGCTACTACAGAGTTTCACCACCGGCAAACTATATGGAACCTTTCCCAGCCAACCCTGAACAACCAATACCTCTGCGGCAGAACTGATTAGTTCCGGAAACGTTTTGCAACTTGAGCTGGTCCGCACACCTACCGGCAACGGGCCGCTAATGTCTAATGTCTAGACAGATCTGAAAATCCCAACTGCATGAGCAGTGTTAACTGCTTTGCCATGGAATCGGCAGAACGGTGGCCGGTATTTATACACGCTGGGAGCGCGTGAGCGTAGGCTGGCACATCAGCAGCGACAGCGAGAACGACGGGAGCGACGCGGCGGCACTCTGCATCGTTGCTCGAACAACGAGCGTTCGCTGGTGGTTGGTAATGCAACTGTACCGCACTCTGCGGGGGTAGGTAGATTGTGTCCCTCAAGCCAATTCTTCCCTCTGTTCTCTCCCACCACACCACATCACTGTACTCACTATAAAATCGTCGCCTACCGAGTGTTGTTTCTATCATGAACCAATCGGGATCCAGCGTGAAGAAAGAAATGTGAATCGGGAATTTCGTGGACAGAATCGCGGTTCTCCAGCCAGTTACTATCACCAGGCAAGAGCGGTGGAAACTGATGAGGCTCGGCCTGGATGGACTCTCACAGCTCCTTACTTGGCGAAAGCTGTAGAATATGCCAAAGGCATTGCGCTCATTATTTAATGATAGCAAGCCTCGAAATCGACGCGACCGAGGAGTCCGAGGATAAAGCTGAAGGTGGGCAGTTTCTTGGGGAGTTAGAGGGAAGGGTCCCATACAAGCCAACTCTGGAGAAGAGGTCCAAGTGCTGGCTCAGCAAGGTCCAGTGGTCCAGTCAACACACTTCGTCCTGAAAGTGCTAAATGAAGGCCAATAATCGGACTCTGGCTGTGTAATCCGACCGGGTGAACACATATTTTGATTCCATTTTTATATTTGTAGTTTAGTCCGTAAACAAACTTATCTCAAAAGTACATGTATATTAGTTGTTTGGTGTAATAGACAGTTTGTGTTTTTTTTTTACTGTTGACTAAAGTAGGTGTCGTACTTTCTTTGAGTGCAAATCACAAGGTATTAATTTTAAGGTAGACTACGATTAAGATTAAGTGTTTGACAATTCTAATATCTAGCTGAAAATGGCAGTGTCAATATCAAATCTGAACTTCTTTTGTATTCTTAAATTTTCAGTGTTTAAAATATTCTTTTTCATAAAAAAATATAAAAATGTATTATTTACTGATACAATATAAGTGTTTGTATTAGTATTTAGAAAATACAAACATAATCATAATGAAACATTTGAGACATTGTTGCATATTGATATGCTATCAAGTACATGAATTTCAAAAAATTAAAAAATCAACAAATTTTTTTGTCACTCAAAAAGACTAGAAAATCACTCAAAGATGGTATATTAAACTAGAATGACTATTGCCAAAGACAAGAAGATTAGAAAGTCTTGAAATAATACTAAAAACTAGAAAGATATTGACAAGTCTGAAGAAGGCTTCATTCTTGCTTCCATATATACTATTTAACTAAGAGCTACGTGGTGACATTTTATAGGACCTCTAACACGTGTCTTAAATTATGAAAGAAGTTTCTTATATAGATGCTAAATTGTTTGCTTTTACTACGAGCTACCTACTTGTGCAACACATGGCTAACTTGTTAGTCAAGTTTCTAACCTATCAATCAACTTTAAATATGTATAAAGTCAAATATACATCTATAGAGCTTCTAAAAAGATTTTCTATAAAATAATATCAAATCTACCTCGATTTATCTTTTACCTGGAACTTTTTATTTAGATAAATATATATGTCGATGATATTATCCACCCTTCTAGAAAAAAGTTCCAGAAAGAGCGATCTTTATATATTGAAGAAGTCTAAGATCCGGTGAATTGTATTTATGACATATTCTAATCTTTGTTACTTTTGAAAGTAATTGATAGGTTCTCTTAGCTATAAGTAATATTTTATTCTAAGGCAAAAAAAAACCATCCTATTATTTGGTTATTGTTGATGCCTTTGTAACTTCCTTCAAATAAAATATTTGTAAGATCATCAAAAATCATTTCTATCTCGAATAAAACTACCAAATATTGAAAATTTCTTTTAAGGTCATGATATCAAATGCATTATAACTTGTCATCTATTTTAGGAAGAATTTGTTGTTCTTGAATGTCTTCATCTTAATTACGTCATCTTGAAGGCTATGACAATTGCAATATCTTATTTAATAAGTCAATAAACAATAGATCTTGAGTTGAATCTGTTAATTTTTGGTTTTCCATTTCTTTAGCTCCATACATAAATTATAAAAAAAATAGAACATAAAATATAATCTTTTTTAAATTATATTTTTTTATAGAAAAGATTTATTATTCTTCATCTTTCTTTTGATGGATGTCATTAATAAAAATATCAATATTTTTTAATATACATACAAGATTTTTAACTTACTTTTATATGCATTCATTAATATCATATTTGTACCAATAAACAAGATATTTCAGTCTATTTCAAAGCCTTCTTGAGTCTAAGACTTCTTCTACTTTAAAACTTGATTATTATCCACTTCTATGAAAAGAAGTGGCATTTATCTTCTTTGCAAGATATTCACTATCTTATATACGTCAAGAAGAGATAAGTAGAATATGAGATGGATCTTTATAGATTTCAATAGATGTAATCAATAAGCAACTAGATTGATTTTTTCACAAATAAAAAATGGTCTAAGCTTATGATAATCCAACTTATTATAGGGATGGCTAGTTTCGATATTGCAATGAAGTAATCATACCTTATTGCCAACGTAGAATTGAGGTTGCTTCTTGTAATAAATATTAGCACTAGCCTTTTGTCATTCTTAAGTTTCTTTGAGTTATACCTTTATTATTGTATATAATTTAGATAAATGATTTTTTAAATCTTTTGTTACAAGATTAGTAACTTTTGAGAAGCCAAAAACATTAAATCATAGATGTCAACCATAATTAATAAAGAAAGATGTTTGTTACATAGAAGAATGTATTATAAACATATTTATTTAATCTAATAGTTACTTAGATAATATAAATAGATAAAAATAGGTAAAAATAATTTAATTTGATTATATCTTTTAGAAAAGTTTTCTAGAAGCTTTATAGATGTATTTTTGTCTTTGTACTTATCTATAGGTGATTGATAGGTTAGATATTTAATCAACAATTAGTTATATGTTGCATGTGTTGATAGCTTGTGCTATAAGCTAACAATATGGTATATATATATAGGAAATTTGCCTTCCAAGTTAAGACACCTGTCTTACAAATTGGACATGTATTGAAGGTCTTATAGAATATTGCTATATAGCTTCTAATTAGATAGTATATATAGAAGTAAGAGTGAAGCCTTCATCACTCTGGTCAATATTTTTTTAGTCCTTAGTATTTTTTCAAGACTTTTTAATCTTCTTTTCTTTGGCAATAGTCATTTTAATTTCAATATTATATTAATTTTGAGTGAATATCTATTGAATTACACAAGAGTACATTGAATTTTTGATTCTTTGAGGTTCATGCCTTTGAAAAAATGTATTATATTTTTATAAACAAACTTTGCCAATGAAAAAAGAGTTGTTCAATCATCTTGTTGGTAATTGATTGTACATCTCAAATACTACTCTAAAACTTAATTTACTTGCTACACTTGTCCATTGATTTGAGCTTGAAAAGTCAAAGATAAATTTATATCCAACTTTAGAATCTTGAAAAGAATTGTCCAAAATCTTAATATAAATTGAGTCCTCCTATTCCATATAATATCCTTGGATAATCTATAGTAGCAAAAAATATTGTCAAAGAAAAGCTTAATTATTTCTTCATGTAAGATAGATTTTGTAAATATTATAAAATGTGTCATCTTAATAAAATGATCTACTATCACAAATATATAATCATAAGAATCTGAAATTAAAATATTTGTAATAAAATCTAAAGAAACAAATCAAAATGGTTGTTTTGGAATAGATAATGGCTAAAAAAGTCCATATGGTTAAAGATGAAGAGTTTTTGATCTTATACAAATGTCACATGATTGCACAAAGTCTTTAACTACTTTTTATATTTGAAGTTATCAAAAACCTCTAACTATTAGTTCCAAAGTCTTATTATATTCAAAACGTCCAACTATTAAAAAGTCATATCAAGCTTGAAGAATATATTATTGTGCTTCACCATCTAGAATATATATTTATCTATCAAAATAGAGTAGATTATTTTTGAATTAAAACCTAAAAGTATCATAAAATTTAGAAGAACTATTCTTAATATCACAAACAAGAGGATCAGAGGACAAGCTCAATAGAATTTGCTTATATTATAAATACTTTTGTGCTTGAGGTCCCCATTGCAATTTATCTTTGGATGTCAACTAAGTGACAAGAGCAACAATTTGGAAATAATTATTCATAAATATCTAATAGAAATTAACGAATCTAATGAAATATTGTACATCTCCTATTGTCTTTGAAGTTGCCTATTCTATTACAGCTTGAATTTTCTTTGGGTCCATCAAGAAGCCTTTACTAGATATAATATATCCAAAAATTCTACTTTTGTTTGATGGAATATATATTTTTTTAATTTGGCATATAATCTTGCATCTTGTAACTTTTATAAGACTAACTACATATATTTTTTATATTCTTTACAAATCTTAGATTAAATTAAGATATCATTAAAATAAAAGACAATAAACTTATCTAGAGATTTTTAAAAAATATCATTTATCAAATACTAGAATATAGCTGGAATATTTGTCAATCCAAAAGACATGACATTATATTCAAAATATCCATATCTTATTCAAAATATTGTCTTTTATTCATCTCTTTTTTAATCTGCACCAAATTATACTCTCCATGGAGATCTATTTTGGTGTAGATCTTAACTTCAACAAGTTGCTTCAAAAGCAGTGATATCAATAGTAATAGGTATTAATTCTTCATTGTTATTTTGTTGGAGCTACAATAATTAACATATATTTGTAAAGATCTATCTTTTTTCTTCACAAAAAATATTAATACATAAAAATAGAGATTTGGAATATCAAATAAAGTTTTTTGCAAGATTTTTGTCAATATAATCTTTCAATGTCAAAAGATTATTTTGTGATAGGTTGTAGATTGGGCCAAATGGTAGTTAAGCCTCTT